CCCAACCTTAACACCGAACCTACCCACAAATCGGTCAAGCTCCAAAACATGGGCGTCAGCTACGTCGGTACACACGTTGACGGTCATCTGCTCGAATTAAAGTGAATGGAGATTCATCTGTGAAGAGCATGGATCTTCAACATCTCATAGGAAAATGTATGGGCATATAACAATTACATACGACGTTTTAGACGTTGCGGTTTAAGTTGTAAACCAACGTACTCTTGCCGTGCATGCAAATAACTTTAACGCAGTATCACTGTTTGGGGATGGAGCTGATAATTACGATTACCAATCCTTCGTCTTGCCGTTTCAGCTGTCGGTAACCTCTTGTTAAGAAGGTGTGTCGGCGTAATTACTCGGTCCTGACGTTGCGACGTTATGCGTAGGCGTCCTGAATATGATCGGTAATAGACTCTTCACGTGACGTTCAGACGATAACTTATAATTCCTTAATTGGAAAATCCATTTTCAATTCATTCTCAACTTCTCCTCGAATCTTCCAGTACTGACCATTCCCATGATACAATGTAATGATCTTGCTAGTGGATGGTATAAAGAAGTATATAGATGATAACGCCTTATATGTAATGGTGTTTTATAAAACCTGTCCTACCACTCAGTAACAAGATAGAAAGATGTTGCTCGATTTATCAACAAAACCCTAGTTGTACCATCTTCCTACTTACATTCATGCAAATCATGACTTTAAAAAGTTATTTTTTCACACTTACTATTTTTTGCATTGATAATTCAAACTTGTATTGCTGTTATTCTCATTTCCGAGACGTTTTGTAAGTACAGATGTGCATTATCAAATAAAAATAAAATCAACTTTCGTAAAGATTACAAACAGTAAATCAGCTGCTTATAGAAGATTCCTGAACCGTTAAACCCGTGTTGTCCTTATCTTTGATCGTGTCGAAAAATACAGGGTAAGGTTGTAATGTAGGTCGGGAGAGTGGTCTTCACATGACATATGTTCTCGTCAGGGATTCTATTTTAGCTATGTAGATACTGTATGTGTCTCACTTCAAGGCGAGTCATAACGACCCCTTTCAGATAAGACACTAAGACACTGTGATCGTGAGCCGCAGAATGCTGCCCTATTGAACGCTAAAACTTTACAATGGTTTTGTTGTTTATTTCCTATGCAAAAGTTTGTTTTTCATAAAGTTATAGCACCAAACATTTGATGATATAAAAGAGTGTGAGATCATAATAAATTAGACTGATGCTATGGACGAACGACGTTGATCGTTTTATCACAACATATGCAATAGGAAATAATATTCACCGAAATTCAATTAAGCACAATCAATTAAGCGCAATATTTAAAGCACAAAAAAATGTAAAAGTTAGAATTACACTAAAATATGTAAGTTTTAAGTATGTCTATTTGCTAGACATTTATGAGTAACTACTGATTAGCCTAAATTATTAATTTTCAAGAAGTTAGGTTGCACTGTATTGCAAACAATTAATCTCTCTAAAGGTGTATCTCTTTAAGAAAATATTAACATATTGATAAATATTTTATTATGTGATAGTTATGAAAAATATAAACGTTTTTTAATGTTTTTATGTGTACTATTAGGACATAACATGCCTCTAGCAACCCATTGTGATGTTGTTTGTTTATTTGTTTGGGTTGATCGGTCCCTCAATAAGTATGGTCCTTTAGGGATAGATGAAGATTAATATAGGCTAATGGAATCAGAGTTTATAAAACAGACTAATCTCTTTTGTGAAGTTTAATTATGCCTCCAGGTCCACGGAAGTGAAAATGGGCCAATTGTGAGTAACACACAATGCATTAGATACAACCAAGTGAGACCATGTCGGCGCACTTTATTTTATTGATATGATGGCTTTTACACAAAAGGTCATAAGCAAAGGTCACCGAACTGCCACCTAAAACACATTTTGAAGCATACATCAGTTACATATTTATGAATGAATCACACAATAGCAACGACACAGTAAGACGAAAGGTAAACTAACATTCGGTACATTATACATCATCAACAGGGTCTTAGAAAATAGGACAAAGGTAAATGATAAACAACAACATCTTTACGTAACGTATTCGTAGTTGCTGATTTGTTTGAGAAATGAAGTGAAACTTGAACAAAACCTACTGATCACTGGCTTGAAGGTGGAATTGGAGTTATCCCGATCAAAAATCCGTATTTTGCGATAGCTGTTTCTATGACCTGTAATAGAACAATATAAATTAAATTAATTCCTATCCCTTATTTTTTTTTCTTTAAATACGTCCTTGCTTTCTTTTTATTTAACAATTGATATATGAAGTTCTGATGACTAACTAGTCTAGAATTTTTCCGATGAATATTGGAAATTTCCAGATAAAATCCCTATAATTCCAAATCAATATAAAATGGAATGAAAAGCCAAAACATCATTTAAATTGCGAACTGTTTTTCATTTATAATATATGTAGGAATAGGACATAACATCGCAACGCCATTTTGGGGATCGCGAACCTGATTGACATAAACATTTCCCGCGGGATAATGATTCGGGAGCACGGAAAGGCCAGTGTTGACACCCAGTTTGACAAAGCAGTCTTTATAATAACACATGTAGGAAATGCTAGACTTATCAAGCGTTTTTGTTTCATGGATCATTTACGGACATAAATCATAACAGTAATTTCATGTTTATGTCGTGAGAGAACAATTCAACGCTGCTTCCTTCTACATTTAGTTTTTGGAAGAATTGGTCTTGCTTTACAGTACAACATAGTCCTGGTATCTACATGCCGGCGTGTGGAAATTGATCAATATATGCGTAAGTAAACTCACATATGTTCGTACTTTTAATGTTGAAACATCCAGATTATATGAGACCCATATGAGACCTCGAAATACTCTGTCAGTTTAAGCTTTGTCAGACTGATATCGTCGATACGTCAGACGACAGAACGTGTCACTGATGTGAAAATGGTGTAATATACTGAAATTGAAACTTACTTATTTTCAAAACTCATAATAATGATAATAATAATAAGACATGTATGATAAAAATAAAAATAAATGATACACTTAGTCTTTGGGTAATGTAATGGGAGACAACTCGAACGACAATGCTTTATGAAAAATCGGGGTTCGGAAAATCTTAAAAGAAGTCCCGTGAAAAAAAGGCTTTCATGTATATATGATCAGGGGTCACATGCGCTAACCAATCAACCAAACACAGAACTTGTAACAAAGCAAAAAATCAAATCGGAATGATTGTATATTAAATGACACCCACCTTGGTATAGTACGTGTCAAATTCTCGTCGGCTCACTAGGTTATCAGCTGTAAACAAAAATAGAAAAAATATTCAAAATCACTTTTTGTGTGTTATTCTTCGTAGAAATTTACTATGTACCAAATACCAGATGCAACTGGAAATAATTAATTTATACAATTTAAATAATTGCAAAACAAGTTTAAAAAACCCTAATATATTTATTAAAACTTGACTCTTAATAATACTAACCGTTCGTGTCCATCACTGTATACTCTCCTTGGATAGCGCTTACGTCAAGGAACCCGTCACCGTCATAATCAAGCTCTAGGAAGACTAGTTTTCTGAATGTATGGTTTGTGGAACGTGACTCGAACTCACTCTCGCTGACTTTCTTGTTGCCTAGCAACGAAAGAGGGCATATTTAGCTCGCAAGTATACAAAACACAATTTTAATATCTTCATTACATGTAATTTTTTTTATCTGTTTCAGACCTACTACTTTTTTCTCATAATATCTTAATAAAATCAAAATCAAAATCAACGAAACGCAGCCCTACCATGCTTTAAACAAGAACCACAGGGGACCTGTATTACTCTCTCGAATTGTTGTTTGGCATAAGTAATGTATTAAATCTTTGTCATACTGGAAGAGAAAAAAATGTGGAGATTTAAAGATGGTTGATAGATCTTTATAGTAGAAACCTACATAAGATTTGTTGGTCAAAGGCGTGGAAAATATAGGTCATATTCCTTCAATCGATCAATTGTTAGGGCAAATCGCATGACCCAGGTCTCTTTGACCGATAGACGAAACTTAATGTTTATAAGCATTTGACAAATGAGATAGTCAAAGTGGTTGGATACATGTATGATACAAACTGGATAATCCTTTGTTTTAGTAAGGAGCAGACCGAATACATATATTAACACTTCACAGATAGTAAGAACAATCTTAAGTGAATGTGGGAACAAACGTGTTATCGTTTTTGTTGATACCACTCCAGTGACATTTATATTTTTATTAAGATGATCCGATCAAGCTCGAAATATATCAAATCTAAGTCTCGTACTTTTTTATATGAGAACTGTTTACATATTATAGCATGTTTCCCCCCTAAACCGTAATCTTGACACTAAAAATCAAGATTCTACAACTAATGGATCTTAAAATGAAGTCATAAAGAGAAACATGTGTCGTCGGATGAACATCTCCTACGCAAGTGTTCGGGTAGATCTTGATTAGTCGTTTGAATATATCAACTTAGCCTTCTTATATCTTTGAATCAAGGCCGTTTGTTCTAAAAGTTGGACAGTTCTCCGTATTATTACACTGAGTACTAACTCGTAACACTGTACTGCCGGTATGCAGAAAACCTCTACAATGGTAAGCCAGGCCATATGATGAAAACATCAGGGAACAGAAATGTCATTCCTATCAGTATATTAAAGGAAATGCTAACACCTGGATAAGAGTACCAATTTTATAACAAAAATGACAGTCTCTTGTTTACGGGACCGGCCAAATCATACCCAGAGAACCACTTGGCCCGTGACCTCGTGTTAGAGGAAACTGTGACCTCCATGGTCTTGAATGTTTCATCAATGCAGTTCGTTTGAACAATCTTGGTAACTCTCTAGCCTAGTAAGTTGTTGGCTAAATATCAAGATTATATACCCTTTTGGCATTATATGTCCTGCAGAAGTCTACCGATTTTCGTTAAACCTTCATACACTAAAACACATTTTGGAAATCGTACCGTCGAAATCCACATGAAAAAAGCTGGCCTCGAGTTCTGATAACTGTATTATACCATCTCTGTCCGTGTCAACATCAGTGAAGGAATGGTCAACGGCCGTAATTATGTGCTGATGGGTGTCAAGCGGCGCTCTGTTAAAACATTAAACAGGTATTTCGTGTCTTCTATGAACAAGTTCGCAACATTGATAATTTCATGTCGTTGTATGAAATGAATTTTGTTGTAGCAAAAGTACGAATACATTTAGCAAAGACATCAACTATTGATGCCTTTTCCAGGTTTGGTGACATACATTTCATACATTAGTATATATATAAAATACGAGGAGAGAAAAGATATAACGGCCGACTTCAAAGTAGCTGCGTTCACCATTCAAAGGGATAATCAGTATTCTGAACCAGACTGAACCAGGTACTGAAACAGGTACTGAGCAGATAGATAACCAGACTGAACCAGGTACTGAGCAGATAGATAACCAGACTGAACCAGGTACTGAGCAGATAGATAACCAGACTGAACCAGGTACTAAGCAGATAGATAACCAGACTGAACCAGGTACTAAGCAGATAGTTAACCAGACTGAACCAGGTAATGAGCAGATAGATAACCAGACTGAACCAGGTACTGAGAAGATAGATAAACAGACTGAACCAGGTACTGACCAGCTAGATAACCAGAATGAACCAGGTACTGAGAAGATAGATAACCAGACTGAACNGAAGATAGATAACCAGACTGAACAAGGTACTGAGCAGATAGATAACCAGACTGAACCAGGTACTGACATCAACTGAGCAGATGGATAACCAGACTGAACAAGGTACTGACATCAACTGAGCAGATAGATAACCAGACTGAACAAGGTACAGAGTAGATAGATAACCAGACTGAACCAGGTACTGAGCAGCTAGATAACCAGACTGAACCAGGTACTGAGCAGATAGATAACCAGACAGAACAAGGACCAGAGTAGATAGATAACCAGACTTAACCAGGTACTGATCAGATAGATAACCAGACTGAATCAGACTGAAGCAGGTACTGAGCAGATAGATAACCAGACTGAACCAGGGACTGAGAAGATAGATAATCAGACTGAACCAGGTACTGACCAGCTAGATAACCAGAATGAACCAGGTACTGAGCAGATAGATAACCAGACAGAACAAGGTCCAGAGTAGATAGATAACCAGACTTAACCAGGTACTGAGCAGATAGATAACCAGACTGAACCAGGAACTGACATCAACTGAGCAGATAGATAACCAGACCGAACCTGGTACTGAGCAGATAGATAACCAGACTGAACGAGGTACTGAGCAGATAGATAACCAGACTGAACGAGGTACTGAGCAGATAGATAACCAGACAGAACAAGGGCCAGAGCAGATAGATAACCAGACTTAACCAGGTACTGAGCTGATAGATAACCAGACTGAACCAGGTACTGACATCAACTGAGCAGATAGATAACCAGACTGCACCAGGTACTGAGCAGATAGATAAACAGACTGAACCAGGGACTGACATCAACTGAGCAGATAGATTACCAGACTAAACCAGGTACTGACATCAACTTAGCAGATAGATAACCAGACTGAACAATGAACTGACATCAAATGAGCAGATAGATAACCAGACTGAACGAGGTACTGAGCAGATAGATAACCAGACTGATCCAGGTACTAAGCAGATGGATAACCAGGCTGAACCAGGTACTGACATCAACTGAGCAGCTAGATAACCAGACTGAACCAGGTACTGACATAAACTGAGCAGCTAGATAACCAGACTGAACCAGGTACTGACATCAACGGAGCAGAGAGAAAACCAGACTGAAGCAGGTACTGAGCAGATAGATAACCAGACTGATCCAGGTACTGACATCAACTGAGCAGATAGAAATCCAGACTGAACCAGGTACTGAGCAGATAGATAAACAGACTGAACCAGGGGCTGACATCAACTGAGCAGATAGATTACCAGACTGAATCAGGTACTGACATCAAGCTAGCAGATAGATAACTAGACTGAACCATGTGCTGACATCAACTGAGCAGATAGATAACCAAAGGTACTGAGCAGATAGATAACCAGACTGCACCAGGTACTGACATCAACTGAGCAGCTAGATAACCAGACTGAACCAGGTACTGAGAAGATAGATAACCAGACTGAACCAGGTACTGCCACCAACTGAACAGATAGATAACCAGTCTGAACCAGGTACTGACATCAACTGAGCAGCTAGATAACCAGACTGAACCAGGTACTGACATCATCAAATGAGCAGATAGATAACCAGACTAAACCAGGTACTGACATCAACTTAGCAGATAGATAGCCAGACTGAACAATGAACTGACATCAAATGAGCAGATAGATACCCAGACTGAACGAGGTACTGAGCAGATAGATAACCAGACTGATCAAGGTACTAAGCAGATAGATAACCAGGCTGAACCAGGTACTGAGCAGATAGATAACCAGACTGCACCAGGTACTGACATCAACTGAGCAGCTAGATAACCAGACTGAACCAGGTACTGAGAAGATAGATAACCAGACTGAACCAGGAACTGAGCAGATAGATAACCAGACTGAACAATGAACTGACATCAAATGAGCAGATAGATACCCAGACTGAACGAGGTACTGAGCAGATAGATAACCAGACTGATCCGGGTACTAAGCAGATAGATAACCAGGCTGAACCAGGTACTGACATCAACTGAGCAGCTAGATAACCAGACTGAACCAGGTACTGACATAAACTGAGCAGCTAGATAACCAGACTGAACCAGGTACTGAGCAGATAGGTAACCAGACTGAACCAGGTACTGACATCATCAAATGAGCAGATAGATAACCAGACTGAACCAGATACTGACATCAACTGAACAGATAGATAACCAGACTGAACCAGGAACTGAGCAGATAGATAACCAGACTGAACGAGGTACTGACATCAACTGAGCAGATAGAAATCCAGACTGAACCAGGTACTGAGCAGATAGGTAACCAGACTGAACCAGGTACTGACATCATCAAATGAGCAGATAGATAACCAGACTGAACGAGGTACTGAGCAGATAGATAACCAGACTGATCAAGGTACTAAGCAGATAGATAACCAGGCTGAACCAGGTACTGACATCAACTGAGCAGCTAGATAACCAGACTGAACCAGGTACTGAGCAGCTAGATAACCAGACTGAACCAGGTACTGAGCTGATAGATAACCAGACTGAACCAGGTACTGTCATCAACTGAACAGATAGATAACCAGTCTGAACCAGGTACTGAGATCAACTGAGCAGATAGATAACCAGACTGAAGCAGGTACTGAGCAGATAGATAACCAGAATGAATCAGGTACTGAGCAGATAGATAGAACCAGGTACTGACATCAACTGAGCAGAAAGATAACCAGACTGAATCAGGTACTGAGCAGATAGATAACGAGCAGATAGATAACCAGACTGCACCAGGTACTGAGCAGATAGATAAACAGACTGAACCAGGGACTGACATCAACTGAACAGATAGATAACCAGACTGAAGCAGGTACTGAGCAGATAGATAACCAGAATGAATCAGGTACTGAGCAGATAGATAACCAGACTGAACCAGGTACTGAGCAGATAGATAACCAGGTACTGAGCAGATAGATGTCCAGGTACTGAGCAGATAGATCACCAGGTACTGAGCATATAGATAACCAGGTACTGAGCCGATAGATAACCAGGTACTGAGCAGATAGATAACCAGGTACTGAGCAGATAGATAACCAGGTACTGAGCAGATAGATAACCAGGTCCTGAGCAGATAGATAACCAGGTACTGAGCAGATAGATAACCAGAACACACTTTGAATGTTCCTTCTTGTACTGTGACTCGATTTGTGTGACAATGATAGCGACGTGACGAGAAATGAATTGGTATGGAATTGTGTCGACTTGTGTCGAATTGGTAAATAGACTGGGAGACCACACAACTAATTAACTTTCCGAAAATGCAAATCTTTAGAGGAGTTCTGAGGAACGGCGTGCTCTCGTAGTTGTACCTAAGAGTTCTGACAAATAGAAATAACTGCTTAGCACATGGAACAAATTAAGGATAAGCGGGCTGCACATTCAAGTTTATTTTATTTATCAAATTTTAAACAATATATTAGGTTTATATCAATAATATCAATCTGACACTATTCTAAAGGGGGAAAATTATACATTGCCATCAAAATACTACTAGCTAGCTTCAACAGGCCACAGTAACATTTGGCGCTAGTTTGTCCTCCAATCATGTGTACATTGTGACGTCACGTTACTATTGTGAGTGATGACATGTAATTGTGACTTCATAATGATGAAGAACCATGTGAAGGGTGAAAGCCTCTAGTTTTGAAAGTTATCGTTTTATTGTATTTTTTCAATGCCTACCCTCTTCACATGGACACTTAATCGTTCAATAAAGAGCGTATATATAAAAGATATAACATATTATGTATACATAAAAAGAAAAAAAGTAAGAACCAGTTAGCTGGAATTTAAAACTTGTATACTGAGATTAATAAAGATAATGTGAAAGATTGTAACAGGCAATGCGTAGCTAGTGTTCTGTTAGATGCACATCAACGTCACTGTCACTACTTTGTTTCTATGACATTGGCTACATATCCTCCAATAACTGCTAGTGTCAGATGTGTTAATATACCAAGACTTTACAGCGATATTTCTACAAATCTACTTTATTTTTCCTGCACTGTCATGAAATGACTTGCACTAATCGAACAATGACCACAGCGTGACTTTGAACGACTGATATTTTTTAAACAAAATCCATAATCTTATAATCAATTACTACTCACGCAAACACCGAAGAAAATCCCAGAACAAAAATAAGCAACTGCATGTCGTTTAACCTGAAAGAAAACAAGCAATGAAATTACTTCATCGGAGTCCTTGATGCCAATGTGTCACAAGTTGTTATAGAGAGCATATTGCATGCTGACACGCGGACACTAAATCATAAAGTAGGGCAATTTGGTTTGACCGTTCAAAACCACAGAAATAGTTTGAAATCGAAAAGCAAATGCTGCTTTCGCTTGACGATGCGTCGTCGGAATGACACCATGCGTGTTTATTTACCCAAACAGCTTCTTTCTGCAAACCTCTTGATGTAATATGTATATTGGTCCTTTTTATATGGACCCACCCGATAACTGTCAAACAAGTATGTGTGTCGCCAGGTTAAGGACCTATGGTACACTAACATCTCACACGATGTAACAATAACTACATGTACATGCCCAAATGTCTACAATGAGGTGCTAAAGACGGATTATATTCACTGACTAAATCCGATTCTCTCTTTCTCGAATTACATATTGCAAATGTAGTTGTTATCAACAGCTATCAACCACCAGATCGTGCAACTCAACGTTTAGTCAGAGCAGTTTGTTGGACAGATTAGACAGTAAAAGGCAAAATGACGTCTTCAAAAGAACGGTTACACGGACTAAGGAATGGAATAAAATTATGTGGCATGTAAAACTAAGCACCAATGAGTTCAATACACAGGAGGATCAGGGACGGGAGGGCATATTGATTTGATTTCGGCATATTGATTCTGATGCGTATTAGTCAACCATAGCGTTATTTTCATTTTCACTTTATAATGCATTCGTTTTATGGAGTTTGGGTTTAGGATGACGCAGTGGATAGCGCACTCGCCATTCACCAAGGCGGCCGGGGTTCGATCCTCGGATCGGACGTGGAATGGTATGGGGTTATCTGCCAGACCACCTCCGTTTTCTCCGGGTTCTCCGGGTACACTGGGTTTCCTCTAATATTAAGACCCCCGTGTGGTAACATACAGACCAACAATATGTCGGTGAAAAAAGGAGACATTTTTGGGATACATACACATGTAGTGTAGCATTTGTTCTATTTTAGTATACAGCTGATTTAGAACAATGATGAATAGAGTAGTGACAACAGCAGTATTCTGACATATATATTAATTCATGATTTACCATTTTGTTATCTTTTTTGTTGCATTGCTAAGGACAGAAAATTCTCTCAAACAATGAAGAATCTTATATTAGCTACGTTAGCTGAATTGCAATCAGCGGAAAGCAACAAATTCGAACAATCATCAAACAACGTTTCGGGAAGGTTGGAGGGCGCAGTGGATAGCACTCTTGCCTTTCATCAATGGGTCCTGTTACTGATTCCCCGATTGGACGTGAACATGTAGGTCACCTGCCCAACCCCCTACCTGTCCAACCCCCTACCTGCCCAACCACGTTGGTTTTTTCAGTGTTGGGATTCCTCCCACATTAAGACCCCTCCCCCCGCCCCTTTCCAGAATTCCAGAAATTATATAATACCAATACCAATAGATAATTCAGGGCTCATAGTTCAGATCTCATGAACCGTGTCCGAAAGTGTCACTCCTAGCGAGGCGGATTATCAATTATTGCTCCTATGTAATATGAAACACTAATTGTAGATGTCCATGAACAATAAATAAAGAATGCACTTGAGCCAGATTGTGGGAAAGTGATCTTTCAACATCATAACTAGTTAGTTCAGTGTTTCGGGGGGAAATTATAAAGTAAAAGCAAATTTTAAATATGTTAATGTAAGATAATAAAATGGATGGAGATGATATTAAGCACGGAAATGATACAAAAGAAAAGTTAAAATCACACAGAATATTAATACTACCGGCCTTTTGATTATGTTTCCTGTTTTGGCAATAAGTCATGTTACGATGAAACAAAACGCCTTCATGTCTCAGAGAGGCATTTTTTACTTTGTCATTAATCTATATTACATCATTTTTTATAAAGATAAACAATTTGTTGTATTCACATCATCGGTGTTGACATTTTTCGCTTGCTGTTCATCTGTAACATTAAAAACAAACCGGCGTATGTCAATACGATGGTGTACAGACCAGATACATTAAGTTAGAAGTTGACATCGCTCTATCATGCATACAGTTCAAATTTGTATGTATAACATATCACCGATAAATGAGTTTATAATTCATATACTAGAAAAAAATGTGTATTCAAACCGCAAATATATTAAGTGAAACATACAGAAATGATTTAAATGTATTAAGTATTCTTAGTAAAAAAACAAACATCAATTTAGAATATGTACCTCGAGTGGCAAATATAGCGCTGATTGCTGAACCGTCGTCCAAAAGTGTTCTAAAGAAAACTCTTTTCTGTCAATGGTGAAGCTGTTATCTTGATAAAAATCACCTGACGCTCCTACAGAGGTCCAACGGTAAGCGAACTAACCTGATTGTTAAAGGATCGGCAAAAGTTCATGTGAATTTGTAATATGGAAGATAACGTTATGCCAAGTGACATAATGTACCAACAATACAATGTAACAATAGGAATACTCGTTTTCATTTCACACATTAATACAAGTAAGGTTCCACAGGCATGTGCTAGCTAACATAAATACAGTCCTCGTTTAGAAACATATCATGGGAGAAGTATGCATGTCTGCACACTCCAATGTTACAAAACAAATCAGAGAACTTAAATTTATATATAAAAAGTGCCAATACAGCCCTGCAAGTCCGCTGAAAGAATGGGCTTGTTGTGTCCCACATGATATTACCGCTGAGGTGACTAATAAAACAAAACAAATGTGGTTGGCTACAGAAACTGCTAAGGTCAGAATTTTAGTTTATCAACCTTGAGTTCGAATCGACACTTTGGTGTTCATTTGTTGTTTCCTTTTATTCATGTTTAAAATGTTATTAGCTTTACCTAAGAGGACGACAAACTACACAGTGCATCAGCTAACAACCAAAGTGGTTGTAATGGTTCTAACATAACCAAAGTGGTTGTAATGGTTCTAACATAACCACAGCATTGATAACTCCTGGAACATTCTTCTTTGAAAAGCTGTCAGATACATTTTACACGTTCAATTGTTTCAAAAACAAATATCATTATTTTGTATTTTGTGAACTTCCAAGGCCTGCTGTTTTTAGAGACTTTTCTCTAACAGAATTCGACTTGTGTCATTCAAAATGAGTGTCACATGTAATATCTTGGTTAATGACGGTATTTCAAAATTTGTTTGAATATCGTAACCTCGGTTTTCATGCTGTCTATTCGTATCAACCTTATAGCCAGGCTTCGTCCCTGACATGTGCTTGCAAGATGTCACATAGCGACATGTTAGGCATTATGTAGTTCAAAAAGGTAAATATTGTTTGGCAAGCAAAAAGGAAGGGTTAAGTCAGTGAAAGGTTCAATATAATTCGCATTTGACAGGTTAACGAGAATGCGCTAGCTTCACATTCACCTGTACAAGAGTACAGATGTTCCAGACTGGTGTCATTGAATTGGGTGACGTTTAGCTGAGTATTCGGAAGTAAGCGTCATTAACAGCTACTTATTATATAACATGATTTAACTTATTGATATATCTGATTATTATTTTGTGTATAACTTACGATATATTACATAGAGGATGTCATATTGAATTTATTAAACGAGTTCAATAATTTGATATAACACAAGCCTTTAGGCGAGTGTCATATCACAATATTGAACGTGTTTAATAAATTCAATACAACAATCACACGAATGTAAGATTTTATTTATCACACAACATTCATAATTATAAAAAAAATCAGCTGATTCTCTTTAGGAATTGACCGAAGTACTCTGATCATGATGAACAGTTTTAAATGCAATGGAAATGATTATTATGACAAAATAAACATTTCAAATTAGTTTAAAACAACAGTAATTATTATAAGCATGAACAGTTCTCGCAATCACATTGGTCGGATCATATACACGTGACCAGTCCTCAAAAACTCATATATGGTTATCTTGTGAATATCGATTTCTAAATATAGCCTATATGGAAATTCCCCGGCACCTTTCGTAGCGCATGCGCAGTTAGACCGGAACGCGATCTTTTTCAGACGACAATAGAAGATGGCTGCTGGCGAACGTTTCTCCTCCGTTACATTAGAAAATTACCAAACTATTCGAGGATAAAAATGCTGTTAACATAAAAAGGCCATTAAACACGCAGTGCATGTCCTCCATGCTTATATTAAGAATAAAAATGACGCTGAACAGTTGTATGTAAACTTGGCTAAATTTTACACGGAGGCTCGCGTACAAAAATCAGAACCCTGAGTTTTGTTTTATTTTATTTTGTTGCTGAAGCATAAAATAAAACAGTTATGGACTTTTGTGCTGGTAAATATGATGTGAAATGAATATGAAACAGTGATATTGACCTCGGCTTCGCCTCGGTCAATATCACTCTTTCCGGCTCATATCACATCTTATAAACCAGCACAAAAGTCCATAATTGTATATTATTATATGCTTGACTCTTTCTCGCCATCAGATTGGGCGGATCCTTTACACGTGACCAGTCCTCAAAAACGTATGTAGACTGGTTATCCGATGAATATTGATACCGCAGAAACACTTTTTTTTACACGTAGGCTAGCTCAAAAAGAAAAGACCCTTGAGGTTTTTTTTAATTTATTTGTTGAATCATATAATAAATCGGTTATGGGCTTTTGTGCTGGTAAATATGATGTGATATGAACCTGAAAATGTGATATTAACCTCGGATCTGCCTCGGTCAATATCATTTTTTCAGGTTCATACATTTTGTATCACAGCATATTCACTTGCACAAAAAGTCTATATTTTAAGTATGTATCATGTGGGATATTAAATAGAAATAGTGCCAATATTAGCACCTTTATGTTTTATTACACGTGCGAAATAACATATTTATGACATGGCTGTATGACATTATATAATGGATCTTTTATGTTATAACAATGTTTCTGAATTAGTACACAGGTGTGAAAATATACGGCGTACAGTTAGTGCGAACGTGTTTCTGCGGTATCAATTAAAAAATTTGATTACAAATAAGTGCAGCTTTATTTGCATGTTTAGAAACATAATTGGTAATGTTAATCAATATAATAATAGTCATATTTGATGTATGGTATTATGCTCGTGATATTGACTTGCAATATATTGAATCTATAGTTGTAGTTGAAGTTGAAGTTGAATTGCACTTACCTTTCTATGTGAAATAGTTTATCCTGCAAACAACCCGTCATCTTCAATCACAGGAAAACGACTCGTTCGTTCAGGCAGGGTCTTCGTTTACCGCGTCATAACTTTAATTGTAATCATGACGTCACTCCTTCTGATTATCTAGGTAGAATTTCAGCTTTTCACCAATAACGAAAAAAATACAAATTTATCTATTTGTTATCATTCCAGATGGACATTGAGTAAAACACTTTAAGAGGAAAAATATCCAAAGGCAGTTTCGGAAAACATACTTAATGATGCATTTTGACCCAAACACATCTTAGTGACACGGATACACAATGTAACTTCCCTCGTCGTTCAGGAAAACAATGATGACAATGTCAGAAACTCAGTACTTGGAGCTATGTAGTGCCATTGACACTAGGTATATAAGATCGTCTGTTCGACTACGATGTCGAACGGGAAAGCCGGACTCTCTGATTTGATGACAATAGTGCCACCAAAGGGTAGTCAAATGCACGGAGATTACAGCTACATGAGGATGTATGGGAATGACAAGCTTGATGGTTACGTTGGTGTTAATCTTGTGAATCAAATGTTGACAATTTCCGAACTTATCATATTGTTAGTTACTTTGTACGAATCACCAGTTAATATCGAGACTTTGTCTCAATAATGTACTTCAAGATAATCCGTAATCAGCATTTATGTATCAATAATTATCATATAATTCCCCTGTTATACAGCGAATACACCCATTTGCTATTTTTGCATATTAACTCATCCTATATGACCCGGAGCGATTTCGATTGGTTGACCGCATCACACTCTCCCATGATAAATAATTACTCTGCACTTTGTCTCGTTGTAAACATGTCCAATTGGTTCGATGTAAATGTGCATTCTGTGTCTGGAGGAAACATTAACGGTGGACATTTCAGCATAAATATTTATCAACAATCTCCCACATCACTTCCCAAACCTGGGAAACGACGTTGGATTATCGAAATCGGACAGGTGATAGTCAATCTCAGTGAAGCTGTTGAAACCTTAAATTTCAGTGTAGTATGGCGCTTTGTAGGGTCGCGAGCTGTGACGAGGCGTGAACAGTGTGAACTTGTTGCTCTGTTTGTTTAATATTTCAGCTGAAGCTCCATATTTGCACTTAAGGATTGGTTGTCATATTTTTGACATGCATTGGTGTGTAACATACATTGAATTACCTACATATTGCTAGCGCACGCACCATGTTAAATATGTAGGTAAGTCAATGTATGTTACACACCAATGCATGTCAAAAATATGACAACCAATAATTATATTTACATTTTTTGTTGATCAACTTACAGTTCACGAAGAAATAAAGACATAATATTAGTCTGGACACGTTTCAACGTCATGGTAAATCAATACGGAGAACAGCCACCAGTTGACAGTGGAGCAGTTCAATCTCCAACGTTACAGTAATGACGTCATAACCGTAGCGACGTCACAATGGCCCAATGTATGTTATACAGAAATATTTACATTTGGTTCTATATAACTACTAAAGTACTGCCAATAGCAGCTTCATCTTATGAGACTATAACTGAAGTTGGTCTTTGCACCTCCGAGCGACTTAACAGTGTCACTACCGAACTTATCGGTATCTTCTGCTTTGATCCCTAACCCCAGCTGCCTGTCTCAAGTGTCTGTGAGATCAACAAACAATTTTACGCCTGGAGTTTTCACCAATTCAACCTTCTCCGGTTGCACGATCAACATCAACAACATGCCGGACTGCAAATATAACTCTGACCTGATTACTGCGGGCTTCCGTTGAGTGCGTGCGCCGGATATAGGTCGCAATAAAATCGGAAAATGTTTTACGACACTTGATTAGTTACTTACAAAATGTCATTTGTTACTATTTATGAATCGAGAATATGATATACATATATAAATCAAAATCAAATGAAGTATTAACGAAAGTTGCGGAGTCTTTTCAATTTTGTATGGGAAATAGCGCATGACGTCAGCTGTTATCTTTGTGCCGTTCTAGATACTGACCTGACCTGACCTGACGGTAATAAGCGGGAAATTTGAAATTTGGAAAAGACGTATTATTTTTTTTGCGAATTCTTATTATGGAAATATAATTATAAGCAATAAACTGCATAGATGTGTCAGACCAACTGGTATAACTTCCACATGTGTCATTTATATCAGTTGGTCTGACACATCTATGCAGTTTATTGCTTAAATAACATGCATTGGACCCAGTAGAAACATCTAGGTTCTGTGCAATGGAACATTTAAATATAAAGCAATGAAATAATGGATTGAACATTAATATTATCCATGTCTTTTGGTGGATTTTTCAAAGATTCTTTTTACCTTTTTGCTACAGCACAGATATGTTTTGCCCTACATTTTAACAGTAGTACTTCGGTCGTGTCAACAAGAACAGCTGATAAAATAACGGTCGATGCAATTGTTTGTTTTAACGATTGAAAAAACAGTATTTCAGCTACATTTCAACTACATTTCAGCTACATTTAAGCATTGAACAGCTTTGCATTTAAGCATTGAACAGCTTTGCATTGAACAGCTAGCGCGCATTATGTTGTTTGCTTGCAAAGCTGTGTCATTCAAATATATGATAAATACCATACAAAAACAGTTCAATACTTATATATACGTTTTCTCTGCCTCTTATGTTCTTTTTTAACTTATAATTTATATTTAAAATCAAAAACACCGCCTTATCGACAGTCCACACAATTTCGTTCAATAGTTTGAACAGCGTATTGTCGCGTGCTGATTGGCAAACAAAGTAGTACTTTGAAATTTTAACAAACACTTCAATTTCATTCCACAATTCAGTATCAATACAATTGCGTATGATATGTCTATAGGGTGATTTAAGTTTATCAATAGAACTCTGAGCTGAAAGTTAGATTTGAAATTGTTTCGATTTTTCCCCGGAACAAATTTCGCGCATGGACAAATACAGTGAACACCGTAAAGCCGACCTTGCCCTCCACGAGGGATCCGGAGTTATTTTTAGAAGTTAATTCGAACTATTCTCTTTGCTCATTTTGTGAAGAATCCAGGCGTGAATTTATTTGTTGATTGTATGGGAACCTGACAACAGTCGGTAGATTCTATAACAGTCTCGTTATTTGACACGTCGTTAAAAACTGAGGAACCGTGGATGCGAGACGCGTGAAATTGATAGTGTTTGAAGTGAGTGATCTTACGACGGAGCACAGGTTCGTTACAAATGTCTGAAATGTTTATGTGTGCTGTGACTCATATCAGTAGGTCTGTAACATATGTGTAGGTCTATAGAATATGTGTATTTCAGACATTTGTAACGAATCCCTGTTGATCAGTGCAGTGTAACAGACGATATTTCTGATAAATTGCATGAGCGTTAAATTGTTTCCATTACCGGCATTGGTGATTTCAACCGATGTGCATTTTGTACGATACATTATGTATTGCAGACCCTGGTCTTGTTTTCGTTGATATAAAAGTGTTTTATATTTTATTTTTTATTTTGCACATAAATTTTCAATGACATTGTCAAATCTAACAATGCCCAGCGATATTTCAGCAGCCGTCATGTTTATTTATATTGAATATTGTAGTTCCGGTCAGTGTTATATTAATACGCTAAGAATTGTGTCTCGTGATGCATGGTAATTAAAGTCCCATCAACGACAAAGCTTTTAAAGAGGCTATATAGTGGCAATGCCATGCAAATGTAAATATATGTATATAATAACAAGGATCGCCAGAGGCTCGTTAAAATGAAAAAATCTTAGACACGTATGACATGGAAATGAGTGTAAGATCCTATATATATTGTATATCTATCAGGGAGGTAGAAAACAATTATAAAATTGTAGAAGGTGGTTTAAAAACTTTCTTTATAGACGAAGGGGATTTTTTTTACATATTTTACATCAATAATGTTATGCTATACGTGATCTATAAAGCTGCATGCAACTTACAATACACGAAAAACAAATCAAATATAAATAAAAACAAGACCAAATTAAGCTTGTGATCATTCGAGGACAACATCAGTGTTCCGTTTTGTAAATCAGACTAGTCTGAATAAATTGTTACTTTTCATGAACCTTGTCCCGATATAACGTTTTATTTTCATTTGTGCAAGAACAATGGTATACATTAAAAATGTATACATGCAGGATAAAGCGCACAGAAGCAAAATAAAGAGTGTGTACAGCTAGGAAAACGTATATCGTGTTTTATGAAAGGAGAAAAGTTCATTTAAGGAAGTGCCCCCTGTGTGATATGCATGCATGGTTGTGAGTGTGTGCGCGTGCGCGAGTGCATGCGTTCATGTGTGTGAAAGAGGAGGATATGTTGGTGTATATGCCTCCTTGTGAAAGCGAAGATCTGATGCCGACTTTGTAGTGCTATCTCACTGCAATATAATGCCGAAGGCACCCAGTACAGTATCCCACCCGGTCACGTTATGCTGACAACAGGTCAACGTTGATTTAATCATGAAGTTCTGAATAAAAACAAAGTACAAAACAACAGGAATATGCTAAAGTTATTTATTAGAGTCCATATTTCAAATATGTTATCATACATCACACCGGCTAGTCTCCTGTAAGATAAAACAGCAAAATGACAAAATCTTTATAGAAATGTGATTACACTTTGCAATATCAGATCAGTTCTTTAATTTCTATACTTCTATGAGAGTGTTATTTTCACTATTACCTCAGTCTAATATGTTTTAACTTAATAATGATCCAATAAAGTGCAGGTACTTTCCAAGTTTATTTTATATAAGCTAAAACCATCACTGCCGGCTATTAGCAGTGCCGCCCTACGTATATTTTATTACTAATATGTTTGCAACACTTTTGAAATATATGACATTAACATAAATATCTCATTAACATAAATGTTATTTATGTTTTCCCGAACCGGTCTAGTTAACAAAATAAGAATGGTGCGACATGTAACACTTACCCACATGTAATGTCGTCTTCTATCCTAATAAATGCCCGTAATTCAAGATCGCATTCTCCACAAGCTGCAACATAGCAATTAACTAAAACAGTTAGGCGCGGTCATGATGTACTGGTTCGGAAAACCAGATGTGAATCAAATACATTCCCTATAATCACATGTCAGATTGTTCTCTAATTTCAAAAAGTGTTTGCCACAAATACGAACATAAATGATTTCAGTACATATTTTGTGACATTGTTTACGCAGTTAAGATTTCATCCAGAAAAGATAGCTTGTGAAAGGGAGTTGAATTATGAACAATGGAATCTCTATTAATAATACCTTACAAGGACGAAGCCCGTATTAAACCTGATAGTCTCGGATAAGCAAACAATTGTATCTTTCTCTTCCGACTGAATTTCCCCGGTCACGTTTCTCTTATTTACAGTCTTTTTATGAAAATATGCTTAAAATACAACGCCAGCGTTCCGGGTCACTGAAGCAGGCGATAGCAATATTGCGAATGGCTGATCATTTTTACCCATTCTTTTATTTTTCGATTCCGGAGTAATCCATTTCTTTTTGTACTTGTTATAGGGAAACATGTTTTTCCCTTCGATTAATCGTGTTTCGCGATTTGAAATAAACAAAGGTGTTAATGTCATCCTCTTCTGTTTCAACAGTAGAATAGACCTATTTTGATTCGTAATCTTTTTGTCCCTAGCATCACTTTTGAATCAGTGTAAATCATTATGGAATACTGTGTATTTTTCCACCACTGTAAAGGTACAATTACCCGTGTGTGAGTCATGTTCACCTTTCGCGAGGGATTCGCTCTCGTGAAACATTTTTAATCTCGGGAATAGAAAATAAGGTTTTACTACAACGCGGTAAATAAATGTATAATATCATCCGTCAGGTTTAAATTTATTTGTCATATATAAACGATAAGGAAGATAATGTTGATCCTGCAAACAACACTGAAAAAGACTAACAGACACACATTATAGTTTCCTTGTTCACCTATAGGAGGATATGTTTAGTTCGAGGATACGTACCGCGGTGTAATACTTGTCGAATTCACCCCGACTTACAGTGTTGTCGCCTTGAAAAAACAACAAAAAACATAAGCTTAATCAAACAGATCAAGATACAAAAGATGTTTTGTTCAAAAGATAGAAAAACAACTTACAAATATTTAACATATATACCAATACCCATATCCAGGGACGCATAGGGATTTATAGTAAACTGTCCCTGCCATATCATAACTAAGTAATATTTTGTTTCTATACTAACTTTAATTTACGCTTCGATATTACAAGTTCTAGTATTATTTTCATGGTTGGTTCAACAAATATACACAGCTTACAAATAATGTTAAATATGAGTCTAGTACGAAGATGATCAGGTGCAAAATAATTTAATTTCATTCTTGTCATTCAGTAACACTTCCTTATAGTATTCAACTTAGTGGTGCAAAACACATCCCAATATAATGATAATCAGGGTAGTGTTTTACTGGGCAGTCAAAACACAGCCACGACATAGTGATAAACAGGATAATGTTTTACATGGTAGTAAAAACACATCCCAATATAGTGATTATCAGGGTTGTGTTTAACTGGGCAGTCAAAACACAGCCACGATGTAGTGATAATCAGGATAATGTTTTACAGGGTAGTAAAAACACATCCCAATATAGTGATGATCAGGGTAGTGTTTTACTGGGAAGTCAAAACACAGCCACGATATAGTGATAATCAGGGAAGATAAAAAGCGCTAGTATTTCCAGATTTGTGTTTATTGCTCTAACATAAAATGATAACACATGCAATATAATATAAACGTGATACTAACTGTTGGTATCCATCACCGTGTACTCTCCCATAATGGCAGCACGACCTACATAGCCGTCCCCATCGTAGTCCATCTCCTGGAAGATTATTCCTCGGTAGGTGTGATCTGTACCAAACTGTTCGTACTCTGCCTCGCTTACTCGTCCATCGCCTAGGATAAGATATGTAAGTGAAATCTTTTCATCACATTTCTGAGTATGTGTTCGAATATTTACATAATAATCTGCTGCTACCCACTGCATGATTCATAAGAGACGACTACTGAGTGAACCCCTGTTGCGTTTGTACACTCTATAAGTGCTGCGGGAAATGAATCTGTTGCACATCGCAGGATTGGGGATATTTAAATCTTCTTCTTCCTTTAATGGAGAATACTCTGTCTAGAGTGTTAAGTTCTCCAGCGCGACTTTGTTATTTTTTCTAACGACTATCTTGGCTATATTTTGATTTAAGCAGTGGTGTTGAGCGTGCGCAAAAACAAAGAAATAATTTGTATGTTTTGCTCTCTGCTGGAACTAATCATTTGAATTGGGGGTATTGATAACTGGTTTACTCGGTTTTTTCTATAGTGTGCTATAGTTCTAGTTCCGTTCTATACGGAATGGGTACATTCATAAGCGACCTTATTCATCGTCATGATATGACGTTAGCTGTTTCAGTGACGTAATTCCCAAAACATACAGCCATGTAACAACCTAAAAGGTCAGGTTTTCACTTGACCCTTTCAAAGGTTTACTAACCATCAGCATCAAAGCGTTCCCATGCTGCTTCTAACTCAGTCAATTCCACAAAAGTATTGTTATTGATGTCAACCACCTCGAAAAGCTTATCCATACCAGCAACGATTTGTGAATGAGTAGCATTTTGTCTATAAAGGAGAAGGAAAAAGTTAATTTAGGCCAATATATTCCGGTCATATGTATGTTTAGATCAATATACATACAAGAATACTAAGTAGGTTTGGACACAATTCTTAAAAGGTTCATGAAACTAAAGAAGAACCTTTTTCAAACACATAATAATATTGACAGCACATGTAGTAAAGATCAAGGGAGACGAAAAACGCAAAAAGCAAAGAGTTGGTCAATAACACAGCCCGAATATGTATAAGGCATTTATAACGACCAGCATAGCATGTGTAAGTAGTTCATAGTTATGGCAAACAAAACATATATCAGACGGTACTGTGAAAATGTTCTGGATACAGGACACCTGCATTCACATTTAATAATGTGCATGCATGTACAAGAAGGCCATCTTCTCCGAAAAAGAATTATGTAGAATTCCCGATTATACATTGTATTACGACCGACAAAACATAGATACACCTAGCATAGATACACTGTAGCATAGATACACTGTAGCATATATACACTGTAGCATAGATACACTGTAGCATAGATAATTACAACAAAACATAGATGCACTGTAGCATAGATAATTACAATAAAACACAGATGCACTGTAGCATAGGTAATTACAACAGAACATAGATACACTGTAGCATAGATAATTGCAACAGAACATAGATACACTGTAGCATAGATAATTACAACAAAACATAGATGCACTGTAGCATAGGTAATTACAACAAAACATAGATACACTGTAGCATAGATAATTACAAATAGAATATGTGCTAGGAGGTATGTCCATCGAAAAAACGACCAACAGCACATGTGTAATTAGATATATCACAAATTACCAATGGAATATGTGTTAAGTATAATACTTACGCGAGTGATGAACTCAGTGCGAGGAGAAAAACTAGACCACCGATTCCGTACATGATTGCAACGCTGACCAAACACAATAAGATAAAGAATTAACAGAAATGCCTCAACCTATAACCACATTTAGACATGTTACAAAAACACATATGTAAGCGTGTATTTTCTCACTTTAGTAAAAAAAAGCGATATCTTAAGTTGTACTTTGTAGTAATACATCTTTCATTCATTTTAAATAAAATCCTTTAAAAGTCGATTTCGTCTCTTTTATCTTTTTCTACTGAACGAAAACTTAAGGTTGTTGGGTAGCTGGATCAAATAATACATATTTGTTTTCTTATCTGTCAGTAATAGCCAGAACATGCCACCTCCCCAAAAAAATAGACGTCATTTGTTTCGGTTAATGCAGTGTTGGTATATCATATATTGTATACGATTTCGTACTGAAAGTTAATCATTTCATGAGTAACAACCAGTATCTAAGTAAGGCTATTCCCATCACTCTTCACTGATTCTTAGATTTGTGTTAGGTATATATAAATACGTTTTTAATTATTTGATGGAAATAAGTTATCTTTCATATTTTGATAGTTTATAAATATACATGTAAGAATAGATATACATTTTCCCAGTGCAATTTAGCTTAAAGTTCAACCTGCGTGCGTCTCATGTCATATTTCTATTACACAGCAGCGCGAAAGGGAACTCACCTGTACAAACTTATCGATCACGCAAAACTCACCTGTACAAACCGATCGATCACGCAAAATTCACTTGTACAAACCTATCGATCACGCAAAACTCACCTGTACAAACCGATCGATCACGCAAAATTCACCTGTACAAACCTATCGATCACGCAAAACTCACCTGTACAAACCGATCGATCACGCAAAATTCACCTGTACAAACCTATCGATCACGCAAAACTCACCTGTACAAACCGATCGATCACGCAAAATTCACCTGTACAAACCTATCGATCACGCAAAACTCACCTGTACAAACCGATCGATCACGCAAAATTCACCTGTACAAACCTATCGATCACGCAAAACTCACCTGTACAAACCGATCGATCACGCAATATTCACCTGTACAAACCTATCGATCACAAAAAACGCACCTGTACAAACCTATCGATCACGCAAAACTCACCTGTACAAACCTATCGATCACGAAAAACTCACCTGTACAAACCTATCGATCACGCAAAACTCACCTGTACAAACCTATCGATCACGCAAAACTCACCTGTACAAACCTATCGATCACGCAAAACTCACCTGTACAAACCTATCGATCACGCAAAACTCACCTGTACAAACCTATCGATCACGCAAAACTCACCTGTACAAACCTATCGATCACGCAAAACTCACCTGTACAAACCTATCGATCACGCAAAACTCACCTGTACAAACCTATCGATCACGCAAAACTCACCTGTACAAACCTATCGATCACGCAAAACTCACCTGTACAAACCTATTGATCACGCAAAATTTACCTGTACAAACCTATCGATCACGCAAAACTTACCTGTACAAACCTATCGATCACGCAAAACTCACCTGTACAAACCTATCGATCACGCATCGAAATGACCTTTGACTGCGTCATACATGTACGTATGATAAGCCCAGAAAACACAGATAAATGTACACTATCGCGTGAAGATTGAGTACGAATCAAGAAAATATTGACTGTTGTCACTGAAACCAACGTTTTATTTCTACTAAAGTGTACCTTCAGGACTTGTAACACTTGTATGTATACTTAAAATAAATTGCTTTAGCGTGTCAAAAGAACGTTGACATGATTGTTTTGTATTGGGTTTTTTCAGAGATAATCGAAATGCCGAAATTTCAAAAACATAGGCAATGGGCTATAAACTGGCGTTATATTAACAGATTGGATCTGAACACGTATTTCTGAATATGTGACACGTGTAAAAACAAACAGGGTGTATACTGTGGTAAGCAAATAGAACATTTTACTCAAATCACGGTAAAGATCATGTCGGTCTCAGGTTGTTGTTCAGCATTCTGCGCTTAAACATTTACATTTTTATCTGTATTGTGCTAAACGTAACAGAAACAATGGAAGCTATGTGCTTACCTGGGTGACGTCCTACAAGAAGAACTGATAGTTAAGTTTTCAGGCTTTTTATATGTAGCTGTCTTACATAGTCCTGGTCCTTATCTTTAGTAGCGAACACCTGTTTGTTTCACTTAACATGGCGTTTCTATAGACAGTTTCCCAGGATTGAAATGTTTCAGTGTATCAACATACGAATTTATACCGTAGGTTATACTATATTCTACTTCGTTTTTTGATATAACAACACTTTTCATTGGTTAATGAACATTAATTATTGGACGTTAGACCATGCACGTGCGTGTATTATTTTTAAACACACCAACGCTGTCCCAAAAACCTCCCCCGCAAATGTACCAGTAAAGAAGAGAGTTTTGGGACTGATTTCGTTTAGTCGAATTAGGGTACCTACATTTCATTTGGTATGTTTTTAAGGATTTGCTAGCAGACAAACAAAACACATTATAGTTATCCTCTAGATCTACTTATATACACACATTACAACACATTATAGTTATCCTCTAGATCTACTTATATACACACAATACAACACATTATAGTTATCCTCTAGATCTACTTATATACACACAATACAACACATT